TTTGACCACATTTCCTACCAAAACAGATTGCAGCATCTTGCCACAGCACTTTCTCTGGGAGTAACTGCCATCCAGATGGGTCCAGGGCAGGAGAGACAAAGGGCTGGTTCCCAGATATCCAAATGTGCATGACTGAGGCAGGTAGAGGAAGGATATGGTCAATAAAGCCAATTTTGACACAAACTCAACGTTAACCCCAAATACATTCCATCAAAAATAAAATGCTATTGGGCTTGATTGTAGAAAAAAAAAGTGGAAAAACAGATTCAAATAAGTCTTTTGAGAAATTAAAGTTTAGATCTCTTTTATTTTATTTACAAGATCTCTTGTATTTTTGTTTTCTTTTAAGATAGGGTCTCACTATGTAGCCTAGACGGATCTTAACTTACAAGATCCTTGTTTTTAAAAACAAATGTTTTTAGAGTACTGCCCAGTAGAGAAGGAGGAAAATAAAAGCTCCTCCTTTGTGAAGGTTGGCTACCCTGTCAATCAGACTGAGTACACCAGAAAGTACATTCTTTCAACCTCCATCTGTGGACTGTTACCCCTGGGTGTCAGTTTGACCGTTACTAGGACAATGCTCAGGGACTCTAGGTGTGTGTTTAGTCCAAAATGGGGGTCAGAAAGTGACAAAATCCTAACGTGGGCAGGATTGAAGACAAATATTTAGAATATCTCAAAAACTCCTTTGAACTTTTGACAGGATGGGTCCTCCCTACATAAGCAAGATACTAAAATATCAATATAGATTTCAGAGACTTTTTCCCCTTTGGGTTTTTTGTATTTTATTTTTATGTTTTTGGCCAATATAAATTTCAAAACAGAAAACCAACATGAATATCACAAGATCACCACTTATAAGCATACAACACAAGCTTAGCTTGCCCCCTACTGACGATTTTCTTGTCTCAATGGCTAACTGTATTCAGAAGGGCTATTAGGTCACTTTAAAATAAGTTGGGTGAAGCAAGATCCTAATTAGTCTTAACAATAAAAACCCGGAGTCAGATATTGAGGGTGAAAGCTGAAAGAGCAGAGAAGCAAAGAAGCAGCCACTAGGAACTCACCTCTGAGAGTCCTCAGACAGAATGGGAGCATGAATCCTGTCTCCACCTCCCAAGTGCTGGGATTAAAGGCGTGTACCACCACCACCCAGCTCTGTTTCTCTTTTAGACTGGTTCAACCTTGTGTAGCCCAGGGGTAGCCTTGAACTCCTGATCTTCCTGCTTCCTCCTCTCAAGTGCTAGGATTGAAGGGGTGTGCCACTACTGCCTGGCCTCTATTGTTAACTGGTGGCTAGCTCCTCCCTCTGATTGCCAGGCAAGCTTTATTTGTCAGAACACAAACAAAATATCACACAACAGTTGGGGAGCTGTTAAAAATACCTGGGTTCTTCATGGCATTCCTTAGCACGTGACACTAGACACCCAACTGCTAGGCGGGTTAGAAGTTTGGTCACCCTGACAGCTGAATTCCCATTGAACTCATCAACATATCAAAGCCAATGAAAGAGAATTTGCACACAGCATCATCACACCCCACACCCATCACTGCTCTTCACTCCAGCACGTTAACAGATGAGCTGCCCAAGTGTCCATCAAAAGATAACGTGTCTTCTCTTCTGCATCAGCTCCCACCCATCCTCAAATCCAAGGATTAAGTAGAAGAACACTTCCTCTTCCTAATCCATCAAATCCAACCCCCCAACGTTGGATCTACATGCAAACGCACTGCCATTTTGCACCACCCCCTTGACCTCGGATCCCCTCGCCAGCTACTACCCCACTTATCTGTACTTCCTCACAACCAATCCCCAAGTTATCTGAACCCCCTCCTCTCTTATGCATCGATTATAAGCTGTCCTACTTTGTGTTCTCTTGCTGTGACAACACCCTAACCAAAGCAACTTCAGGAGGAAATGGTTCATTTGGCTTACACTTCTAAGTCACAGTCCAACCATGAGGAAAGGCGGGTCAGGAGTTTGAGCAGGAAGTAAAGCAGAAACTATTGGCTTGCTCCGAGGTTCACACTCAGCTACCTGTCTTATACAACCTATGCCCACCCGCTCAGGGATGGTACCATGCAAGTGAGCTGGGCCCTCTTTTCATCAGTGAGCCATCAAGAAAATGCCCCCTAGGCCAATCTGATAAAGACAATTTTTCAATGAAGTTCCCTCTTCCAACTATATCAAGTTGATAACCATGACTGGCAATCACATAAACCTATTCCAATCAAGCTGGGACCCTTCCTCTTCCCCCAAAACTGTTCTCATCACAGTTCCCCATGGTCCTGATCAACTCAATCCTCATCTTCCTTGAGTCCTCAGCAGTGTCTGACCCTGCTGATAACTCCCTGTTCCTTGACCAATGTCGATTGTTGACAGGAGGGTGATATTAATGACCAATTTACTCGGCTCCTAGGTCTCCCACACTCCCCTGGGTTTTCTTCCATCTCCTAGATGTACCCAGCCAGTCTCCTTGTTAGTCACTAGTCTTGTCTCTGATCTGTTAATAATAGAATACCCCAGCACTTAGACCTCAGTCTCTTCTTTTACCCTGTTTCACAACTTAGAACTTCAGCATACATCTAAAGCTCTCAACTGGGATCTTAAGCTATAACCTCTTTCATGGTTCATCACTCACCAGGCATTTCAAATACAACAGACCCAAAGCCAGCCCCTCTGAAACACCTCATATCAGATAATGACAACTACATCATCCCCTTCCTTGATCCAAAAGCTGTGGTCTCACACTTGATATTGATGTCTCTCTTTTTTCCCCATAATTCCACACTGAGTGGAAGGCCCTACTGAAATCATCAAAAATGTTTTCAGTGTCTTACCACTTCCATGGCTTTCTACCCTGATTTGAGGCACAATAATCTTTTGTCTTATTCAGTGCTTCCCAAGCCTTAATGACATTGAAGTCTGTCTTAGTGAGGGTTTCTATTGCTGAGATGAAACACCATAACTTACCAAAGTAAGTTAGGGAGGGAAGGATTCATCTGGCTTTTATTTCCCATCGTAGTTCATCACCAAAGGAAAACAGAACAGGAACTCAAACAGGGCAGGAATCTGGAGGCAGGAGCTGATGCAGAGGCCATGGAGTGGTACTGCTTACTGGCTTGCTTCCCACGGCTTGCTCAGCCTGCTTTCTTATAGAACCCAAGACCACCTGCCCAGGGATGGCACCACCCACAATGGGCTGGGCCCTCCCCCATTGATCAGTAATTAAGAAAATAGCCTACAGGCTTGCTTACAGCCAGCTCTTACGAGGCATTTTCTCAACTGGCATTTCCTCCTTTCAGATAACTCTAGTTTGTGTGTCAAGCTGACATAAGACTAGCCAGCATAGACTCAATCGTAGGGGATTTCTGTTTTATACATGTTAATTTTTTTGAGATACATATTGACATATGTAACAAAATCTAACACGATGACAAATAGGGAAGAGGTTGGGGTTGGACTATAAACCTGTGATACCTAAAACCGTGGAACTCTGGGGAATCACTAGAAAGAGATAGGATCAAGTGACTCCTGCAGAAGACCAGTCAGTATCTTGACATGAGACAGAGGTATCCACAAGAGTCTGAAAAAAATAATAGAAAATTCTAGAGTGGGGACCCCTATCCTAAAATATTTTCAGGGAAGCTAATTTATTTTTGTTGACAGGAGGGTGATATTAAGATGATTTGGAAAAAATTTCAATCTTGTCCAGAACAGTTTCAGTGTGGTGGTGGCACCAAAATCAGAGCTACTTCAACTCTAGTGGAAAGTAAGGAATTGGAAACATCACATCTTCCAGCCTTTATTAATGCGAAGGATTCTTAATATCTGGCCCATGGACAAAGGAGATCATTGAAGGGTTTCAAGACAAAGTTATTCCAATCTCCAGATAGAAGATACATGGTGTCTCACCCAGTGTTTTCACAAGTTATCAAGAAAGATGTGTCATTCATCCAAGACTCGAGGAACCTATAGGCTGCAAAGCCTGCGAAATCAAGCTGATACCTGCTTCTTGCCTAGTGTCTTTCAGGAAAATCAGAGCTTAGATTTCATCACAGTGAAGGTCTAATGCTCATGGTATGTGGGATTTCTACCCAGGTTCCCCCTGTGTGTGATGTGCCTGGGCTCCTAAGCCCCCATGCAGGGGCCACTCACATCCACATTCTTGAAACAGGAACTTGAATGCTCTTTTGGGGAAGGGCGGGGGGGGGGGAAGCATTGAGTCTCCCACTTGAGCCCATAAGTAACTTCATTTTGTGTCTATTTGTCTCCTTTACTTTGGCTGAAGGTACAGAAAAAAATCATTGTCCTAAACCTGTCGTCACCTTGATTCCAGAGTAAACAAAGCCTCGAAGGGCAGACTCCTGACCATATAAGGACCGTTAGCAGTGATGTCAGGGCTGCACCCTGGAGCGTGAAGTGATGATCTTGTAGGAGCCAGATGGATCTCCTGGAGGGATGTCAGCAATAAAGTCTGAGACAATGATCAACCCGAGCACACCTTACCCAGGACTGTTTAAATAAACATGCCTCTTTGCCTCCTGTCTTCAATTCTTCCAAAACCTTTAAAAACTAACGCTTATGTCAACACCCCAAAGACAGGCTTGGGTGTGGGTGTGTGGGAGTGGGGGAAACACTGGTCTCCTTTATCTGTCCCTCTTCGCAAGATGGTTGGCTGTGCTCGTGACACGTGGCCCAGCCTCGCTTATGGAAATTGTCAGAGCCCAGGCTTTTTGCTTTAAGAACTCTGGCTACATTTCACTCCCGTCCCGGCTCCTCGGAGGGGCTTCTTTAAATAAACTGTCCCGTCGGGACTAGCCAGGTCCGGTTTGCCGATCCTCAAGAATTCCTCTGCACCCACCCCCAGGATCGATCGGGACGCAGGGCCCCGCCCAGTCTGAGTGAGCCGGAGCCACCACCTAGACTGGGCGGGGCTCCGCGCGCGCGCGCTGCCTTCTGGGAAGAGCTGTGTGGTACACTCAATGCGCTTTCACGACAGTTCCCGGGTTGCTTTCCGGCTGATAACTTTAGCCGTGGTGTGTACTACAGTAGTGTGGCGGTAGCCTCCTACAACGCGCAGCGATGAGACAGAAGAGGAAAGGTGCAAAAAAAAAAGCGGGACGAGGGGCAAGGGAGGCGGTGGATGTCCCGCGAGAACAGGCTGAATCTCCCGTTCCCACGGGATTCTGCTCCCTTGTCCGGAACGCTTCGACTTGGGGTGGGCTGGCCTCCTTTTATCTGCGTGCTTTGTGAACCAGTCTCTTCTCTTGATTCCTCTTTCAAAATGACTACGTGTTGTCCTTTGTGTGGATGGGTGAATGGAACCGTTACTCGAAGACGGGTCTTTACGGGAGTTAAGGTGGGAGGTGGATTTAGCGCTTTGCAGTTTAATTTGTGGCGACTTAATTGAACGTGTTGACTTGAGTTGTTTTTTAAATCTTCAAGGAGGAAAGGCGTTGGTACGTCCCTAAAAGTGGGAATTATCCATGCGGTTTGTGCAACAGCTTTACGTGAACTTACTCCCATTTATTTTACCTCCGGGATAGCCTGGAGCAATGCTTTGCAGGTTTTTCAACAGAATGAAGTCATTTTAGTTTTTTTGTTTTTTGTATTTTGGGGAATTTTTTTGTTGTTTGTCTGTTTGTTTTCGAGACAGGGTGTCTCTGTGTAGCTTTGGAGCCTGTCCTGGAGCTCACTTTGTAGACCAGGCTGGACTCGAATTCACAGAGATTTGCCTGCCTCTGCCTCCCGAGTGCTGGGATTAAAGGCGTGCGCCACCACCACCCGGAAGAATGAAGTCATTTTTTTGTTTGTTTTTTGAAACAGGGTTTCTCTGTGTAGTTTTGCGCCTCGAACTCAGAGATCCTCCTGCCTCTGCCTCCCAAGTGCTGGGATTAAAGGCATTTTTCTTTTAAAGTATTTGTAGTACATTCCACTCTTATCTCTGTACTGCCCTTGAGCAGTTGATCAGAGAGTACTTGCTGGTTGTCAGAATAATAGCTGGGTATTGAGCCTTTACCAATCATTTTGAAGTTGTGTCATCTAAATGTATACTTAGTACGTGGAGCTGAATGGTCATGGTGCACTTGTGACCCCGAGAAGCATCACATGAACACTAAGTGTGTTGTTGGTCACTGCTTCTTGGCATTAACTGGAATTTCCCTTCCAAACAGCATGTCCTATGTCCTTGTCACATCAAACACAACATGCACTAGATTAATTTAATCTTACATTGCTGCAACTTCACTTTTTTGTCTTTAACTGTCACCAACACCTTAGTTCTTACTTTGATATCACCTCTTAAATTTGTGTATTTACCCTCATTCCCTCTACCATTTTTGCTTTTGTGGACATTTGTTTTTGTTGACTCTTACATCTGTCTTCTGAGATTTGTCTGTAGGCACTGGTGCCTGTCGCGTTAAAGGTTTTCATTGAGTCTTGTAGACTGTTGTTTGTTGTTGGATGTGTACAGGTGTGTGGTATTTGCATCCCTGTGGGTGGGTGAATAGGCCAGAGGAGGAGTTTTGTCACACTCCACCTTACTCCCTTGAGACAAGATCTGTCACTAAACTTGGAGTTAGGCACCCGGCAAACCCCAGCAATCCTGCCGTAATCCCGTATCACGTCTTCTGTGGCCCCCTCTTTCACACATTCTAGGTTTACAGGCATTAATGTAAGTATGCCTAGCTTTTAACATGGGTGCTGGGATTCGAACTCAGGTCTTCACATATGGATTTTTAATGTGCTGTTCAAAAGCTTTTTGTTTAGCATCTAAATTGATGTATCTTTTTTTTCCTTTCTGACTTATTCTTTATATTGATAACCTCACTTTCTTTAAAAACTACTTTCATTTTTTTAAGTTACCGAGTTGAGAATGTATAATTCTGAGAATGTATGATACAGTAGAATGTATAATCTACTGTTTGTTTCCTTTAATGCCTTTGCCTAGTGGCCAGTGTTCTGTCTGCTTATTGAACCTGTTCAGACAGCCTGTGTTCAAGTTAGATCTCCTTTCACCAAAATAGGTTGTTCTTAGGCCTGGCATTGGTCCATCCTGCATGTTCCCCGGTAGTTTTTCACATCTTTGTTTTTACCAGCCCAGCCTCCTGCCACCTCAGTGAAGTCTTATGCAGAAGTCTTATACACAGAAAGATGAACGCAGACTTAGTATCGTTTTAACACACACACATGGGCTGGAGAGGTGGCTCAGCGGTTAAGGGCGCTGACTGCTTTTCCAGAGGACCCGGGTTCAAACCCCAGCACCTCCATCACGGCTAACACACACACACATGCACACAGATGGGGGTATGAGAATGTGAATATGCAAGCTGACAGGATGCTGCCTCATTTTCTGCTCACCCCACACCCCAAGTCCACCTCTGTTCCATGGCCTCTGAGGCACCTTTGTAGAACTGAGAAGTGCTGGGAAAGCGTTTCCTCTTTGACTGTACATGGACTTTGCTCTCGCTGTTTTGTATGTGTTAGCTTTGCTGTATTAAGTCAGTGTGGTACACAGTGCACAGTATGTGAAAAAAACCCGCGACCTGAGATTTAACCTTGCTGTTTACAATGATGTCTTAACTTGCTTGATCCATTTTTTTTTTTAACAGCTATCAAACAGGATAACAATATCAACTTTACAATGTTATCGTGAGTTTCAAATGGGACTTAATGAAAGGTCTCGGTAACTTCCGTGGCTTTCTTATCCACACTTCTATGATGACTGTTTTATTTTTTCACACCAGCCGGCAGGAGACATATTTATTGCTATCACCCAAGCTAAGATACCACACCACTGTCGTCAGCTGTTAAAAGATGGGCTCTCCTGACCCTTAAAAGAAAGAGCTGAGATTGTCCCGGCTTGGATCGGTGCCCATGCTTGGATGAGCCATTTGTGGTTGACTGTAAGATGATATGACAAACATGTCAGCGTCCCCTGTTTCTGTGGAGAAAGGGGGGCTGCCAAGACAGGATCATGCAGGTCTACAGATGGTATCTTAGAAAGGCAACTAGATCCTTAGATGGGCCAAGCAAATTGGTACATACTATATGAGCTCAGCACTGGGTCAGCTGAGGCAGAAAAATCGTAAGTTCAAGGCCTGTCTGGACAAATAGCAAATTGAAGTCAGCCTGAGCTATATAATGAGAAGAAAGCTAAAAGCCCTTGGACACATCTTTATGAAACAGGCAGGTGTCTGTTCAGTCTGTTCCAAGATTGAGTTAGTGCATTATGGGACAGGCAAATTCCTGCTCTGCCTCCCTCACTCTGTGATTGAATTAGTGCATCTGAATGTTCTCTATGCACTTGCCAGTGTTCATCATTGCTACTGTGCAGTGACGGGCTGGGCATTTAGTTCCTTTGGCCCTTCCCTGGATTGGTAGGTACTTTTTGTTCGTGATTGTTTCTACAGTAGCCTTCCTTTTTTGTTCTCTGTGTCTGTCTGCAATATCCTCTGTCTTGTGCTTCTTTAGGGAGCTTCACATACATGAAGGTGGGGTTGCTTGTTTGTTTGTTTGTTTTTTGGAGGGGGGCATTAATTGAAAATATGAAAGATATGTTTGGATTGTGAACAATAAAGACTTAGTGTCTCCGGCTCTTGAGTTATGTGTTTGGCATGTTTGACATTGTTTTAGAAGCTAGATGCCCCTAGAGCTGTTCTTCAGATGATTTTGGAAGGAAAATTACTAAGTGAGATTGTTAAATCTGTACCAAGGGCTGGCAAGATGGCTCTGTGGTAAGGGCACTTTCCACCAAGCCCAACAAGCCAGGAGCCCTGTAGTGGAAGGAAAGAACCAACTCCTGACCTGCACACTTAAAATTGCATGTGTGTGCACACGTATGTGCATGTGTTACATATGTGCACACATACAAATGAATAAATGTAAAAAAATGTTGATGCGATTTTCGCTGTTGTTGAAAAATCTTTGCAGGAGATCTCAGCCCTGCAGAGCTGATGATGCTGACCATAGGAGACGTTATCAAGCAGCTGATTGAGGCCCATGAACAGGGGAAAGACATCGATCTAAATAAGTAAGTGCATCTGGAAGAGGCACTCTTGCAGTCTTGTTCTTAGGGAACAGGTTGTCTGTCTGTCTGTCTGATACATGGTCTCACTCTGTATCCCAAGCTCTCCTCAAACTCAAGCCGTTCCTCTTGCCTAAGCCTTCCAAGCAGCAGAATTGCCGGCATGCCCCACTGTGCCTGGCAGGAGAGTCGTTCTGTGAACTGGTCTAACGCTACCTGCTTTCTGTGTGGTGGTTAAGAATCACAGCTTTCTGCCTTGTACTGTCACATACTTCCCCATGATAAAATTGAGTCACAGTCTCTGAATCTAATTGCCTCCATCCTTCATTGGGCACTCCCGGTATCCTAGGCACTGTTACGAGGGCACTGCAGGTAATAACTGAATTAATCCTCTCAGAAGCTGAATGAGGGGTGTCTTAGTTTGTGTTACTATTGCTGTGATGAAACACTGTGACCAAAGCAACTTGGGGAGGAAAGGGTTTATTTGGTTTATATTTCCAGGTAACCATCTATCAGTGAGGGATCTCAGGGTAGGAACTCAAAAGGGCAGGAACTGATGTGGAGGCCATGAAGGAGCGCTACTTACTGGCTTGCTCCCCATGGCTTGCTCAATCTTTTTTTTTGGTTTTTCGAGACAGGGTTTCTCTGTGTAGCTTTGTGCCTTTCCTGGAACTCACTCTGTAGCCCAGGTTGGCCTCGAACTCACAGAGATCTGCCTGTCTCTGCCTCCCGAGTGCTTGGGTTAAAGGCATGCGCCACCAACACCCGGCTTGCTCAGCCTTTCTTATAGAACCCAGGCTATCAGCCCAGGGATGGTACCACCTGCAATAGGCTGGGCCCTCCCTCATCAATAACTAATTAAGGAAATGCCCGACAGGCTTGCGTACAAGTTGATCTTATGGAGGCATTTTCTCTATTGAGGCCCCTTCTGCTCCAATAACTAGCTTGTGTCAAGTTGACATAAAACTAGCCAGCACAAAAACTGATCCCTTGTCAACTTGACACATAAACACACTTTTCAGTTAGAACTTTTCCTTTCTCATTTATCCCCATGATGGCACGTTAATATTAATATCACAATGTAAAACATAAATAACTTCAAATTCAATTTACAATTCAAACAGATTAAAAGTTCACGGCGGGGCGGTGGTGACACACGCCTTTAATCCCAGCACTTGGGAGGCAGAGGCAGGCGGATCTCTGTGAGTTCAAGGCCAGCCTGGTCTACAAAGTGAGTTCCAGGAAAGGCGCAAAGCTACACAGAGAAACCCTGTCTCGAAAAAGCCAAACAAAAAAAAAGTTCAGTCTCTTTAAAAATCCAAAATCCCTTTAAAAGTTCAGAGTCTCTCAGCTGTGGGCTCCTGTGGAAATGAAAATTAAAGCTGGGCGGTGGTGGCGCACGCCTTTAATCCCAGCACTCGGGAGGCAGAGGCAGGCGGATCTCTGTGAGTTCAAGGCCAGCCTGGGCTACAGAGCGAGATCCAGGAAAGGTGCAAAAGCTACACAGAGAAACCCTGTCTCAAAAAACCAAAAAAAAAAAAAAAGAAATCAAAATTAGGTTAAATACTTTTTTATTTCAAGAGGGAAGAACCAAGGCACAGTCACAATCGGAACAAAACCAAACCAAACTCCTACAATGTAATTAATTCAATGTCCCGTGTCTGGGATTCACTCATGATCTTCTGGGCTCCTCCAAGGGACTTGGCCCACTTCTCCAGCTCCACCCTCTGCAGCACACACTCCAGCTCCGCCCTCTACAACATACACAGCTTGTCTTCCGGCTCTGGCTGGCTCCACTTCACAGCTGCTGCTGTTCTTAGTGGTCACCCCATGGTACTGGCGTCTCCAAAATGTCGGGGTCTTCTACTGCAGCTAGGCTGCACTTTGACCAATAGCCTCTCCTGAGCTCTCTTCATGGTGCCAGACCTCAACTTTTCAATAACCCCTCCATGGCCCCTTCAGTCCTGGGGTTTGACTCCACTGCTATTCTGGGTGCACCTTCACCAATGGCCTCTCAGCAGTGCCAAGCTTCAGTTGCTCTCCATGATTCCTTCATGGCTTTAACACCTGTGCTACATGGGAGACACATGACCAGGTTTGGCTGCCAGCACAAGGTATAACCTTGGCCACCTCTGAATACAGTTTGCACGTTCTAACTCTGAGGAAACACTTCCGAGAAGATTTTACCTGGGTGATGCTGGTCTCTTTTTAATCACAGCTGATTCTTCAGCTCCAGCTGACCAGCATCCATTATCCCAACAAAACAAAGGTTTAACTTAAGTGATTCTGGTCTCTTATTAATAGTAGCTGATTTTTTCAGCTCCAGCTGACCAGACACCACATATTTGTCACACAAATGGCTATGTAGTCTTTGCTTCCCTCTGAAACTTCACAAGCCAGATCTCCATCATCTGCACTGCTGTCCACATTCTGATCTTCCAAGCTCCCACAGAACAGCCCACTGAGCTCTCAACACTCAATGGCTTTTCTAGGCCAAAGTTCCCAAGTCCTTCCACAATCCTCCCCAAAGCAACATGATCAGGTCTGTCACAGCAATATCCCACTGTCCTGGTACCAGTTTCTTAGTTTGGGTTACTGTTGTTATGATGAAACACCATGACAAAAGCAACTTATGGAGGAAAGGGATTGTTTCATCTTTCAACTCTCAGATCACATTTCATCACTGAGGGAAGTCAGGCAGGAACTCCAAGCTGGAACCTGGAGGTAGCAGCTGATGCAGAGGTCATGGAAGGGTGCTGCTTACTGACTTGCTCCCCATGGTGTGTGCAGCCTGCTTTCTTAAAGAACCCCAGATCACCAGCCCAGAGGTGGCACTACCCATAATGAGCTAGAGGAAAAGCTATATAGTAGAATACTTTCATAGCCAAAAGAGGACAGTTACCGACTCACTTATTCCTTCAGCAAATGCTTTCTAAGCATGGTGTTCAAAGAAGGGGTTGGGTACAGCCATCTTAAGAATCACTAATTAAGAAAATACCCTTCAGGATTGTCTATGGCCCAATCTTATAGAGGCATTTTCTCACCTGGGGTTCCCTCCTCTCAGATGACTCTAGCCTATGTCAAATTGACCTAAAATGAGCCAGCACAAGGGGCCATCAGGATGGTCTAGTAGGTAAAAGTGTAGTGGATGGAGGAAACCACCTCCCAAAAGCTGTCCTCTGTCCTCTACACTGCCACAGTGACACATGTACATAGGCATGTGCGCATGTATTTAAAAAAAAAAAAAAACAAAATTAAACTTAAAAACAAATCAAAACAGTATGGGGTAGGTACAGGTGTCATCCTCATCTGACAGATGGGTGATCTGAGTAGTAGAGAGGTTAAGTAAGTCATCCAGGGTGAGTAGTCATCCACAGAGTGGGGGTTTTGAACCCCAAAGCCCAGTGCTTTCTTTGTGCCGTTGTTTTACATCCCATTTTTTTCCCGTCTCCTTGGAAGCACTTCTGCCAGGAGCACTCTGTCAGTGCTCTTAATCTTATCCCACCCGTCTCTACTGTAGAACCTCTTCCACACGTTCATGTTCACCTTGGTCTTTGTTACACCTGAATGAGTGGTCCTTCATCTCTGCTTCTCATTTTCTTTACTGCATTTGCTCTTTATATATATCCACAGAGAAAGGGTTGTCCCCACGATGTCATGTAATCACCACATCCATGACCTTTTTTTTTGGGGGGGTGGGGCGTGCCTGTCCTGGATCTCACTCTGTAGACCAGGCTGGCCTCGAACTCACAGAGATCTGCCTGGCTCTGCCTCCTGAGTGCTGGGATTAAAGGCATGCACCATCACTGCCTGGCCCCGTGACTTCTTGTAGACCCAGTTCTCTGTTTCTTAAGGTGCCTGTACCTGTTGCATGAATCTTAATCTGTCTTATAGTAAAAACTTGGAGCCAGATATCAGGGTAAATACTGAAAGATCAGAGAAAACAAGCCACAACCACTTCTCACCTCACCAACTCCTCAGCCAAAAGGGGAAGATCCTGTCTCCACGAATCATCAGACTGAATGCTCCTGAGTCCTCAGCCGAAAGGGCTGAGTTCCTGTCTCCTCCCGCCTTATATGCCTTTCCCTGCCCAGCCATATCACTTCCTGTCTCAACCTTCCTAGTGCTGGGATTAATAGCGTGTGTGCTTCCCAAATACTGGGAGCAAAAGCATGAAATCCCAAGTGCTAGGAGCTGGGATTAAAGGTGTGTGCCACCACTGCCTGGCATCTGTGTTTAATCTAGTGACTGGCCCTGTGCTCTGATCTTCAGGCAAGTTTCATTTGTTAGAGTACAAACAAAATCTGACCACATGTACCCAACCCCTTCTTTGAATACCATGCTTAGAAAACATTTGCTAAAGGAGTGAGTCAGTAATTGTCCTTTTCTGACTGTGAAAGAATTCTACTCTGGCTTTTCCTACAATGCCTTCAGTGACATCCCTGTGTCTGCTGCCTGAGACCTGAGTTTTCGTCTCCCCAACTTCCCCAGCACGTGTTAACGTCCTTTGTGCGTTGTGGAAGCAACCTTTGCATGTGGTAGGTGTGTGTGTGGGCTTAGCCACAGCACATCACATGAAAGAACTGTGGCTCATATCTGACATACCACACATGTGGGGAGTCGCCTGTGCGTGCTAGCTATTCAGATATTTCTAGGTAGGTCAGTTAGAAGACAGTGTGACCAGTAGGATTTGGCTAGTGGGCACAAAGAAAGGGAAAGCTGGTCAAATTGTAGAGAAAATTAAGGAATAAACTGGACATGGTAGCACACACCTGTAATCTCATCATTCAGGGGTAGAGATAGGATTTTGAGTTCAAAGCTAACCTGAGCGTAGCAAGACAAATGGGAGAGGGGTTTAGGAATTAAAGTAATTATTTGAGTGAAGAATGCTCTTGGGGTTACAGATAGGGTCATAGTCAGGAGGGGACATGGAGGGTTTTTTTTTGTTTTGTCTTTTGTTTTTCAATAGTTGAGGTAGATCCTAGAATTTGTGTTCTGGTTTTTGATTTGTGTTGCTTTTGCTTTTGTATATTATATTTTATCCAAGAAAGTAGTTCTTGATCAGGGTAATTTCTTCTCGGGACACGTGGCAATGTCTATAGACAGTCTTCCACACACAGTTCCAAATGTCAGTAGTGAGACTGAGAAGAGGTAGGTAGGGTCAGGGTAGTTCTTTAGGGTAGAAGCTGGGGTGCGGTTGGGAAAGAGACCTTACCTGGGCCCCCACTGTCCTATTTTACCTCTGGGCATTTGGAGTTACTAACAAGGAGGTTAAAAACAAGGAGGTTACTAACAGATTTTGTCCTTTATCTCCTTAATGTTCACAGATTGTTAAGTTGCTCCTGTCACTTGGTGAAGGGTAGAGGAGTGGCAGATGTTAATGATGCTGTTTACCCATCATCCTTTTAGTAGCTTGTGCTGAAATGCTGTGATCCTGATAACAGTGAATGCTTTGCTTTCAGGGTCAAAACCAAGACAGCTGCCAAGTACGGCCTTTCTTCCCAGCCCCGCCTGGTGGATATCATCGCTGCAGTCCCTTCTCGCTATCGGAAGGTCTTGGTTCCCAAGTTAAAGGCAAAACCCGTCAGGACTGCCAGTGGGGTGAGTGACTGCCCTGGTGAGTAGTGGTGGAGGTGGTCAGGCCGTGGTGGGGAGTCCAGACTCCTGAAGTCTGCCATGCTGTGTGCTTGAGTGAAGGAGGTCTGCACACGGTGCTCAGAGGGCCAAGGAGGAAGCAAGCCAGCTAGCGTGTATAAGGAGCACGTGTTTTTGTAGTGTCTTAAAGGTCGAGGCTCGGTCATTTAACAGTGTGACAAAAGTGACCCTCTTATGCTGATAGTTTCCAGCTGGTACTTCTAAAGCGCATATAATGGTGCAGGGTAGGGTATTTTTTGTTTTTTTAAATTTATTTCTTTTTATTTTATGTGCATTGATGTTTTGCCTGCATATATGTGTGAGGGTGTCAGATCCCTTGGAGCTATGAGTTGTCATATGGGTGCTGGGGATCGAACCCAGGTTCTCTGGAAGCCAGTGCTCCGATCCACTGAGCCATCTCTCCAGGCCCAGCAGGGTAGTTTTATGTATGGTGATTATGGAGTAAATCTCTTAATAGGGAACATTGTGGGTGTCCAGAGATTGGGGTTCCCCCCAGCAAAAGGAAGAAGTAAAGCCCCAGCAGAAAGCATGGCACTTTCGTGACCTGTGAGTATGCTTGTATGATCGGGCAGGGGACAGGGGATCAGCCTCAGAGGGCGCTGGGAGCAAGAAAGGAATAGGAAAGAAAGCAGAGGTAGGAGGGGCGTGAAGGGCATGGTATTCGCAGACAGGGAGTGCAACAGACTGGCGGGAACTCAGAGTTCATTTGACTGATGATTTTCTTTTTGAGACAGTTTCACTATATAGGCCACGCTGGCCTTGAACTCGCATTTTGTTCATTTGAGAAAATTGGGGGGGGGGGGGGGGGGGGGGGCTTGTTTAGGATTAGCTTGTAAACAGTTATGTACAACTGGCAAAGAAACCAAATAACAAGAAACCATTTCAGGGGTCTGTGCAGGGCGGTGATGTGAGCAGGACAGATTTTCAGAGAGTTAGTCTAGATACGGCATGCACAGTAATTCAGAAAAATAAGGCCATATTGGACACTCTGGTTCCAATCTCTGTGAAGCAGTAAGGGGCTGAATTGGGATTGAAGCTCTAAGTCCTAAAGGCTGATGTGTGAGGCCAGGGAAAATGGGCAGAATCAGGATCAGGATCCGTTGGAAAGGGGTTCCAGAGTTGAAGTCCATGCCTGATGTGACCCAGCATTTCTGGTCTGCTGTCTGAATCAGGATGTGATATGGCTACTTTAGTGGCCTGGTCTTCTGGATTCTGATCCCCACAATTTTAACATACAATGTGCTATCAAGTCTGATGCTGTCAGTTCTGATGCACATACATTACTAACAAGTGCTTGCACCACACACAAACTCTTAAAAAATAAAAATGGAAACCTGGGAATTTCACTTGTGTCCCTTGCTGCCCTTTCGTCACACCCACTGTCTCAATGACATCTCAGTTCAGAATCCCTGCTGTACCTGGTTGCCATGGCTCCTCAGAGCACACCTGTCCTGTCTTTCCTTGATTTCATTATCTTCACACCGAAGATTGTCAGCTGGTCATTTCCTAGCATGTTTTCAGTTTGGTTTAACTAATTCTGCTTTCGTAATCTGCACACGTGTGTACTTACATAAACACATGTCCATCTGTTTTGAGGTGTCTTGACATGTCAACAACTGTATTTGGAGATCAGTACTCCAGTTTCTTCAGCCCTGGGCTTCATTCTGGTTCTCTCTGTTGCATATACAACTTCCTCTCTGTCCATAAGAAATCTAGCTCATGTGAGCCTTAGTGTGGCTCTACTGGGTCACCTACCTCACATGTTGATATCTTTTTTTTTCCGAGACAGGGTTTCTCTGTGTAGCTTTGCGCCTTTCCTGGAACTCACTCTGTAGCCCAAGCTGGCCTTGAACTGACAGAGATCCGCCTGCCTCTGCCTCCCGAGTGCTGGGATTAAAGGCGTGTGCCACCACCACCTGGCCCGTGTTAATATTTATTTATTTATTTATTTATTTTTTTTTTTTTTGGTTTTTTTGAGACAGGGTTTCTCTGTGTAGCTTTGCGCCTTTCCTGGAACTCACTTGGTAGCCCAGGCTGGCCTCAAACTCACAGAGATCCGCCTGGCTCTGCCTCCCGAGTGCTGGGATTAAAGGCGTGCGCCACCACCGCCCGGCTCACTTTTTTTTTTTTTTGGTTGTGTTAATATCTTAATAGCCTTAAAATCTCTGCTGCCAGCCCTTTTCTCAAGCAGCACTTTCCCCACCCAGCCTGGACTCAGTCTGGTGCTCTGAGATTTTGCACATAGACTCTCTGGATCAATCAGGTCCCTGACTTCCTACTCCTACTATAGATTGAAATCTAGTGTCCATGAAATTTGAATAATAGTGATTAGGTTTATTTATAATATTATATAAAACGACCTTTGTTGGCTATGTTAGCAAAATAATTAGAGAATAAGAATCACCATGACCTTAAAAATTAATTCCCAGGGCTGGGCTTACAGCTCAGTGGTAGAATGCTCAAGACCCTGGATGCAGTCTCCAGTACCACAAATTAATAATAATAGTTCCTTATTCTATACTTACCATAAAACCAAATACAAAGCTCATATATGCAATTCATATAAACGTTCTAAATATTATCAGTATCAAAGAACACGGTTTAAGGGGATAGCACCATCCGTGTCTTGAGGGAGATACTCAGGTTTCTTTTCGGATCACGTCAGTCTTTCCCCTTTTCATATCTTGAAGACTCTTATGTACCACTCCAGTTACACTCCCCCCCTTCACTCTTAAGGTAACCACTCTGTAGAATTGTGTTCACTTTTCAATGATAGCTTTTTGATTAATCTTTCTTTTATAGATTGCTGTTGTGGCTGTGATGTGCAAACCCCACAGATGTCCACACATCAGCTTCACAGGGAATATATGTGTGTAAGTATGATTTTGATAAGTTGATATGTGTTTCTTAAACTAATAGGTAGAATCCCTCATGCCCTGGCCAGTACAGGTTGATGATACTTAGATGTTGACTGAACATCTTTGGTAAGGTGTTGCAGAACTTTGGAAATGAAACAGACGGTGCTGCAGTGCTGAAATTCTCATTGGTTATGAGCTTGGGACAACAGGCACCTGTTACCTAGGTAAATTAAACATGGAAATGCAAGCTCCCTGGATCCCAGCATCAAATTCAAAATGAATTTGGACCAGAAAAGTATCAAAAAATTAAATTATTCTTGTAAATAGGTTAGACTTCTCTGATTGAGGTATTGGGAAGAATTTATGGATGCAAGTGCATGCATGACTCAGGTAGGAAGCTTAAATGGGTCCCAGGAAAGCATAGAATCATCCAAACTAGACAGCTGGGCTCCCACATTAAGCCTGTAAGGTGTGTGCCTGCAGTGTTCTGGACACAAGTGTTGTCATGTTCCTTGACTTACTGTCTTGTTTGCTCGTTGGTAAGCAGTGCTGTGCGGGTGGACTGCTGTTTGAATTGACGGCAGGACTCTGCTGGACTGAGCTCCTCACCTGCCCTCCCTGTTCTGTCGTTGTGTCCAGATACTGCCCTGGAGGACCTGACTCAGATTTTGAGTACTCCACCCAGTCTTACACGGGCTATGAGGTAAAGCCTTTGACTTGATCCTGACAGAGTGCTACAGTCCAGAGTGTGATGTGACAAGTACCGACATTCTTAGACGCTCGGGCTTTTTTCCTGACTAGAAAGCTTTTGCCAAACATTTGTGCTGTGTGTCTTTGAGTGCCACGTGTGTGCCAAGCCACTGGAGAAATGCCGACATGAGCATTTCGTGCCATTATTTCCACCCACTGTCCCAAGTGCTTTGCCACTGCAAGCCTCCAGCAGTATTTGGAAGGTAGATGCTATGATTATCTCAGTTTTACAGCGAGGAATTGGAGGTATAGAGGCTTAAAGAGCTGGCAGGGACACACTTAGTGAACAGCTACTCTGACCTGTGTTTTCCATGCTCCAAATTTCTTACCCCCCCCTTTTTTTTTTTTTACATGTTAAGTAATAATGTCAAAACACTGTTTGGCACCTTGCCCCACATTTATTTTTATATACATATGTATGTGGGTGTTTTTTTTTTAGACATGTCTCATTGTAACTCAGATTGGCTTCAACCTTTTCATAGTATTCCTTTCTCAACCTCCTAACCACAAGGACTTCGCATGTTTAGAGCTGACCATTGGGAATTAGATAATCTATCAGAGGGCTCATCCCTGGAGAAAACTGACTCTCCCTCTCTCAGCACCGTTGATTGCCTGTAGCTCACTATCTAGTGGTAGGGCCTTAGGACATCCCCCTTTTACGCTGGCATGCCAGCTGGTGATGTCATTGTTCAGACAGTCATTTGTTGGAATCTCCCGAGTGTATTATCCCTGTCATGTCTAGAAGACACGGTCTGGTCTTCTGCCCACCTCTCCCTGAGCCTTTGGTGTAGAGGTTGTGCTGTGGATGTATCATCTGGCGTTGGGCACTCGCTGTCACTTCTGTATTCTGACCAGTTGTGGATCTCTGTAATAGTTTTCACCTGCTGCAAAAAAGAAGCTCATTGGAGAACGTTCTATGATAGGAAACTGCTTTGTCATGGTAGAGGTTCAGTATGGCAGTGGCATCAAGACCATTTGCTGAGCCATTAGAAACCATGTGTGATTATAAGGACCTTGTGCACAGATCATTCTGCTACATGACTCTCTTGAGTATGTGTGCCCATCTGTGTGTACACCTCCACTTTAGATGCCATCATAGTTCTGCAGAAGGTGAATGTGACCCATTCTGTTACCTAGGTAAATTAAACTTGGAAATGCAAGCTCCCTGGATCCCAGCATCAAATTCAAAATGAATTTGGACCAGAAAAGTATCAAAAATTTGAATTATTCTTATAAATAGGTTAGACTTCTCTGATTGAGGTATTAGGAAGAATTCATGGATGCAAATGCATGCATGACTCAGGTAGGAAGCTTAAATGGGAGGAAAATTCCCTGCTGTTTAGGTACACTCGACTGGCCTGATATTCTGAACCTTGCTAAAACTGAGAAAGGAAGGTGGGATGTGAGGTGTGGTTTCAGTGTTTAAAACCTTGGAGTAATTTAATTTTAATACAGCCCTTCACTCCTTCAGTATTTTCTTTAATTTCATATGGCTATAACACTATATGTTTTTCCTTATTTACTTAGCCAACTTCCATGCGAGCTATCCGTGCTAGATATGACCCTTATCTGCAGACGAGACACCGGATAGAGCAGGTAAAGAGGCTTTTTTAATTGGTTTTTATGCTTCAAAGATTGCCGCACCATTGCTTGATTTGACGTCATTGTGAAGACAAGAAGAGCATGGTTTTTGCCCGTCTGAAGGAGAGACTTTCAGCGCTGTGTGTGGTCAGACTTATGCTCCTTAGATACCATTGTCTCCTTTAAGGGTTTTATATTCTTTGTACTCCTTTCAGTTTGAAGGAAGTCACTTAGGAAAGTGTGTAAAAGTTCTTTAACAGCCAACAAGGGCTTGAACTTCAGCATCCAGAGCCCGGTGAAGAAGTGTGACAGGCTTGCTCAGTGAGAACAGGCAGTTCACAGCAAAGTGGTGTGAGTAGCTGTTTGGGTCTTGTGGACTTGTTCTGTGCCTTTACTGTGGTGGTGTATAACTCCATCACAACTCCCCAATTGTGCCTTAAAGGGGGTGGATTTTTATTACAAATAAATAATACATTAACATAACTGGTTAAAAGCTACTACTATGTAGGTGATCTTGAACTTCTCAAGGAGTCTAAACATATTTTGCAAGTGTTAAGATGTAAGTACCATCTGTAGTTGTTACAGTAATTAACATGGTAAGATTAAATAGAAGATCTAAAAATAGAAAGGAGTGTGTAGTACATAAGTTGCTTCTGGGTTTCTGTGTCTGTTTATTATAGAACACCACCCAGTTCTGATGATCACTTTGCTGTCACCCAGGTATGTGTAGGGCAGAAGTGTTCACAGTAGAAGAGGACCCCACCTGGGGAGCCCACATAGCTTGGGAAAACATGTTCTGAACTGACTTTGATCTCGGTTTTTTGTTTTCAGGCATGGTATGTAACTCGTTTAAGATGAGTATTAGGCCTGGCGGTGGTGGTGCACGCCTTTAATCCCAGCACTCGGGAGGCAGAGGCAGGAGGATCTCTGTGAGTTCAAGGCCAGCCTGGTCTACAAAGCAAGTTCCAGGAAAGGCACGAAGCTACACAGAGAAACCCTGTCTCAAAAAACCAAAAAAAAAAAAAAAAAAAAAAAAAGAAAGATGAGTATTAGTCAGGGTTCTCTAGCAGAACATGGAAAGGGGACTTATTAGAATGACTTACAGGCTGTGGTCCAGCTGATCCAACAATAGCTGCCTATGAAGGGAAGATCTAAGAATTTAGTAGTTCAAACCATGAGGCTGGATGTCTCAGCTGGTCTTCAGTATATGGGAAACCCCAGAGAAGTAGGCTCTGAAGCTAATATGGAATGAACTTGAGAGCAAGAGCAAGCAGGCAAAGAGAGAGAGAGCTTTCTTCTCCCATGTCCTTTATAGAGGCCTCTGGCAGAAGGCCCACACATCTTCCCACCTCAAAGATCTGGACTAGAAGTAGGTCTTCTACTTTGGATGATTTAATTAAGAAAAAAAAAATCCCTCACAGGTATACCCAGTCATTTGGGTTTTGGTTAATTCTGGATGTAGTCAAGTTGACAAACAAAAATAGTCATCACAAGATAGAAAACTGTTTTAACAGAGTATGAAATGTTTATATTTACTAAAAATGTTTGAAGAACTTAGCTTTAGACATTGGGATAGTCACACAGAATAGCAATTCTTTTCTAACTGTAAGTGCAGCAGAGTCATCTGGGAAACAGTGACATAGTGACAGTGGGTTGGGTCTCCACCTCTGGAGGTGACATGGAGTTTGGCTTGGAGTCCTAGCAGGAGTTTTTGTATATGCTGCCAGGACAGTTTTGCTGTTACCCCTTGTATGCAGCCATGGACAGAGGAGTACTCCTGGTGTTGATGGGAAGGCATACGCATGCTCACTCACATACACAGGCACAGTAAGAGCATTTGCTATTTGCTACTTGCAGAAACAACTCTGTTTAAAAGGTTCCCTAGAGATAGTCACTACGTGGTATATTCTAGTTCTTAATTAGGTATTTGATTCTGGCTTCTTGTAGTTGGCATGGTGGATGGTTGTGCCATTCTGCCCTGAAGTAGAGGAGATGGCTTATTTCATTTTGAGACAGTCAGTTATGTATGGTTTTCCGGGAGCAGCTTGAGGGCCTGTTCCCATAATCAGCTTTCAATTGCATCCTGAAGTCTCACTCTAATCTAGTATTCATCTCTCTCCCTGTGCACTAAGTCCAGGTTATGCGGCACTCACAACTGTGTGTTTTTACCCTGAAGTCAGACATAAAACATATGATAGTAAATTTTGGCAGTATTTGATACTACATTATGTTGATTTTTTTATGTATTATATTCTGTGTTTTCTGTTATATATGTCTTAAACTCTTCCTGCTGTTAAGTTCCTACTTAACTATCAACACTGAAGTCTGATTGCTGCTTTAGTTTTAATTCTCACTCTCTCATCTCTTTTGAGCAGGAATTGTTTTTCTTTCAGACATTTCTTTTTTTTTAAACACACAGAATTAGCACAATGGGTTTTATTATAAACTGTGCTAGTGGGACTATGAAATGAAATTGGAAATTCTGCATAATGCTCTGACGAATGTGTATTTCTTCCAGTTAAAGCAGATTGGTCACACTGTGGATAAGGTGGAGTTCATCGTGATGGGTGGAACGTTCATGGCCCTTCCGGAAGAATACAGAGATTTTTTTATCCGAAATTTGCATGATGCTTTATCAGGCCACACTTCAAACAATATTTACGAGGCAATCAAGTAAGAAACCCTATTTTCTCACTCTCTGAACAATTGTCTGTCTCTTCATCCTCCTAGCAGCTGCCTGTGGGGATTTGATCTGTTCTGAGTATATATTCTGAGTTTCTTGTACTCTTTTCTTTGTGTGTGTGTGTTGGGGCAGAGGGAGTGGGATTATTTTCATGGAGCCACACCTCCTGATCAGTCTAATCCTTTCCAAGTTCCACTTCCTGGTGACCAAGCATTCAAATATATGAGCCCTCGGGGGCCATCCCTGTACAAACCCCCACACCATCTATGCAGTTACAGGCACTGGGCACAGCATAGTGAACAAGATGGAACTGTGTCCTACGGGTGCTGTCCTTCTATATCAGTAACAGAGTACAGGTTGTGATGGAAAGAGATTGCTGTGACAGAGACCTGTTGTAGGAAGACGAGTCTGAGACCTTCCTTAGAAAGGACAGAATGAGACCAGGCGGTGGTGGCGCACACCTTTAGTCCCAGCACTTGGGAGGCAGAGGCAGGCGGATCTCTGTGAGTTCGAGGCCAGCCTGGTCTCCAGAGGAAGATCCAGGACAGGCTCCAAAACTACATAGAGAAACCCTATCTCGGGGGAAAAAAAGAAAGGGCAGAATGGGGACACTGAGAAGGGAAACAGCTTTTCCATAGATGACTGGGTTATACTCCAGTGAGCAAGGGAATGTCCTCAGGTGACATTGAAAGGCTGAACATGGGCCAGATCATGTACTCTTTCAGGGAGCTGGAGTTCTTATGAAATGTAAAAGTAGGTTGTTTCAAGCCAAAGGGGTGGCAATGCTTCCTTGTTAACAGGCAAGGTCATTGGACTGTCTTCTGACTGACAGGTTAAAGGGTTACCATGGGAATGGGAGACACCTCTAAGCTTCCTTATCACCTTGGTTCATCAAGGTTGGTGGCAGTGGTGATGGAGAAGAGGCTCATTGAGGCAGTGACGGCCTAGCCTTCGTTGGATGGCTTGAGTAGTTGGATGGGAATGCCATATACTAAGATGGAAAAGCCATAGGGAAGTTCAGGTTTGAGGGAGGAAATTAAGTTTACTTTCGGTTTGTTATGTTTGAAATGCCCATGATGCATATAGATATGTCTGGTAGGGTCCGGAAAAGGAAGTCTTGGCTGCAGGTACACAGTGGAGATTTTCAATCATAGGTGATAATCTCAGCCTCATGGAGGGATGATGTCACCTAATGGGAGAGTTTTGCTTCTCCAAAAAGCATTGTTCAGAACAGTTTGTACTGTAGGGTCCCATCACGTATGTCTCCATCCATGTTTATCTGCGTAAGTCATCACAGGCCAAGATTATCACTGAGGAGGAAGAGCTGGGAGTAAAGGAGGCTTACATTTGCTGTGTGTACAATGTACAGTGTGTCATTATTCATACAGTAAGCCTTTGAGTGTAGTGTTCAGATTTCTTCCACTTTACATTCGAGGAATCCAAAGCCCAGAGAGGTAAAGCAGCTTGCCCAGACATAAACACAGGAATAGAAACCCCAGGCTACCTTCAGAGCCTGAAATTTGCTGTAATGCTAGAAATTGCTGGGTGTAAAAAGTTTGTGTGTGTGTGTGTGTGTGTGTGTGTGTGTGTGTGTGTGTGTGTGTGTACCATCAAACTTTGGCTTTTCTTTGGTGAAAGCAAAGGAGAATACCATACAGCTGATTGCAAGGTGGGAGAAATGGTGCTGCCTTGTAGACTTTCGTGTGGTGAGAAGTAGGGTCAGGTCGGAATGGACCTGAGGGGAGCTTTGTGACTGAAGCTGAAGCCTGAGGACACACAAGAATGGACTTTGAGGGGTCATCTGTACCTCCAGAGGTCAGCAGCGGTGACCTCGGTAGTGTGCCCCTGGACCTGAGCTCACGCCTTCCTATGTCCCTTCCTTCCCCTGTTGCTTTCCTTTGGGTTTGTGGAAATTAAAATAAAGAAGGTTTTTCATAAATTTAAGTAAAAGTTAGGGATCCTTGAGGGGCTACATAAAGGATTCATCCTCTGGAAGAATGTGTAGTGAGCAAGTACTTTTGTTTGACTGATGAAAACAGGTAAATTCTGTGTCCCCGAATCTAGACTTTTGGGAATGTGACTTGTCCCACAGGGACCTCGGTAGCTGGATGAGATGGCATCTGTTTTTACTATTCATTCAAAACATTGATCATTCATGAATAGTCATGCTTAGTGAAGCCCTGCAGTTTCCAAACTTGAGAGGAGTAATGATGTAACTCAACTCAGTCCTCTTCCTACTTAAGAGACAAATGTGATCACTGTAGATACACCGTGATTTTGGGATGTCGCCTCCGTTAGTCCAAGGCTCTGAGATGGTGTAGTGGTAACAGCACTCTGGGTTCCCAGCGGAGCTCATTCACCTCTAGAAATCCCAGCAGTGTTCCCTTCAATACCATTGAATCTTTTTTCTCACCTGAGAATGAGCCTGAGATTGTCCTCTGGCCTCCTCACATGTGCAGACTCACCAGCACGCGCGTGCGCGCGCGCGCGCACACACACACACACACACAAAACTGCGAATATGGCCAGCAAGATGGTTTATCCGTGCCATGTATCTGTAGTCCCAGCTTTGAGATGAGAGACAGACGAGAATCACCTGGAAACTGGAGGACCAGCCAGCCTGGAATGGGCAGCTCAGCAGTATGGACTAGAGAGCCGTAGCCTCAGCACGCTAAAGGAGAGGACTGAAAGTTGTCGTCTGACCTCCACATAAGTGCCATGGTATATACCTGTCCATACTCACATATGAACTCATCAGACACACAATAATACATTTTTAAAAGAAATAAAAATAATTTAAAAGTATTTAATGTAAGTAAATAAATCTTCCCAAGCTTAGGTACATATAGCCTCCTTTGCTCAATACAGGTTTCTTACGTTGAAGGGTGTATGGGTGTGGTGTGGTGTGGTGTGTTTATGTTTATATATATAGCGTTCAGCTATAGCTGTGTTAAGGCATACCTCTCCTGTGAATTTGCTCTGAGCTTTCCCACATGGAGTTTGAGTCCTGGGCATTTTTGGAGTAGGCCAACTGAGCAAATGTGGAGTTTCTGGGGTGCAGCTGCTTTGACATTTTCATTGAAACATTGACAATTTTACTACAGTTTTGGTGCTAAATGTTCTGGTGCCTCATAGTATTTGGCCATAAGTCATGTATTTTTGTGATAAAAATGGGGTTTTATGTTCGAACTCACTTGATTCAGATCACGATGCGTTTGTACAAAATCCACAAGGGAACAAAGCCTCTTCTGGTGTTGCCTGGCCAGCACCTCAAGAGGGCGCTCTGCTTTTAGCTTTAAAAAATGTATCTGCCTTGCGCCTTCATTGCAGCAAATCTCATGAATGACTCCTAGGAAGTAATAAAAGTGCAAGCCAGGAGCCATGAAGCCACCTCAGCGTGGTGCTCCATTCTGTAGCCCACTGGGCTGGTGTCTTGCTCTCTCTCTCCCCTGGTCTCTGTTCTTCATGAGTCAGTATGAAAAGTGACGATTTGTGAGCTCCTATTTGCTTTGTTGAGGTAAATTCTTCATACAACCCCCTATAATGAAGTGTTCAGGGGAAACTTTGTCATTTGAGGCAGTAGTTTCTGAGCTGAGCTAGAAACAAAATTATTTTCAAATGTTAGCATCATTGTGAAGGGCAGCCCAGGAAACTGCTTTTGGTCTGCTGTGTTCCTTTCAGAACTTGTCTGTTCTCTTGAAAGAGGGTGTTTGGAAAGCAGTTGTTTCCCAGAACAGCCCACCGCCCTTCATGAAGCGGGTTCACTGCTGAGCCATGGCCAACATTTCCTCAGTGCACTGATGTGCCTCTGCTCGGTAGGACAGGATGTTCTTCAAGGGTTCATTTTAAACTGGGCTAACAGTTCCATGAGGTGGCAAGCGAGCCACCAGTGTGGAGGACGGTTGAGCATCCTTAGGACCACACTAGGGGCCCAGCTGTCCCTCCTTGGTCTCCTGTGTCTAACCTGGGTAGTTAAAGGGGTTTTTGTTTTGTTTTGTGTTGTTGGTTTTTGTTGTTGTTGTTGTTCTGAAAAGATTAGGATTAGACTTCAAAAGATCCCAACAGCGTGAGCCTGGTTATTATTGTGGCTAGTTGGTAGGCAGAAGTCTGTGAACCCTTTGCAGGCAGAAAGTGGAGGAACATAAGCCTGCCAAAGACAGTGCAGCCTGGCCCCTGGAAAGGCTGTTGAATTAAGCCGGCACTGGTAATCACTATCCCATCGACTGAGCCTCTTCAGGTCTCCAGAGACTTAACAATTACTGATGACTGTCATCCCATAAAAATCTTCACTTGGGAGAAAAGACCATCGTGCATCTGAGTCACCCATTCGCCAGGGTGCGAATGTTGCCTGATAACTCAGAACAGGCTTTTCAAGGAGTTTTATTCCTTTTTAATCAGCTCTGCCCAGAAGCAGTTTTACATTCAGTGCTCCTTGGCTGTTTTCACAAGATGCAATTTAAAAGGGTAGTTACCCATCAGAAGCCAATGAGTCATACCTTCTCCTTGTGGAATTTTAAAGTCATTTCCGTTCCTTCCTCTTTTCCCTCATCAGTGACTTTAGATCCTCCAACTGTGTCCTTGCATATCATGGGAAAGCTAGAATGCTAGGTAATGCTGAGTACCAAACCCCAGAGATAATTCCACGTTCTTGCCTGGGCTGTGAAGGAAACCACAGCGGCCTCCAGAGGCCTGGAAGCCCTGGCTACCTCTGCGGTCTTCCCCAGGTGCTTTGCCAGGCGTCATGTTAACTAGCGTTCAGGTGGCTGTTTTTCCCTCGAAGTGAGTTTATATACAGCAGAGTACACAGACTTAACATACCCTTGATTTGTTTTGACAGACCTACGTAACCAAAAACACTGTTAAGGGTTCAGAACATTGCCAACTGTGGTGTAATCCCAGCAGCCAAGAGGCAGAAGCAGGGGGATCTCAACTTTGAGGCTGACCTGGGCTACTTGACAAGACCCTGTGAAAACAGATAAATAATGCAGAG